TATTTACCTTAAGTCAGCAGACATAAACCCAGGGATGGTGACTTGGCATGAATATCAATGCAAACAAACTTGGTATAAGGAAACATGTGGCAGACACAGAATACACACATTCTCAGAAGGTGTACGATGAACTGGAAAACAGACTTGGGAGTTATCTCACACCGCCGACTAGTTTGGTGGTAGTGGTGCTTATAAAGGATGTCATGCTTCCATTTTATATTTTGGCATAAAATATATTATCTACAAATAATGATTTACATTATTATAGACATGAATTACATAGATGCAGAGAGGAAAAAAACAGATGTCTCTTTTCACACTAAAGTATGAGTACCACTTTTTCTGAATCAAATCTACTCCAATTTTAGCGACTATTTCTTTAAAAATGCAACCGAAGCTGAGCCATGTCCTAGCACTGACCCTTGGTGTACAAAATTAGGACAAACCTTTATTGGTAAACCAAATGGCAGCCACAGCTTGTGGACAAACTGTGTAGGGAAGTCCGGGCAGGACTGTGACAGATGGTCAGAGTGAACGGGTGACTGTTGACAATGTGTGCTGCGTTCAGGAAAGCACATTCAGCACAATCACACAAAAAGAGACAGAGAAAAGAACCTGAAGCCTCTGTTGTATCACTTTAGACACATATAACCACATAGACACCACACTCACAATTTTATGGAGGCACACACAGACACACACTTGCACAACGGGATAGAACAATACCATGCCATCAGGAAAAGATAAGAAAGAACACACAAGCCTACAGCCTATTTGCTGCTAAATTTTCCAACAAACATTAATTTTAGTTTTTCCCAACTCTATCTCACCTGCTCTCTTCCTTATATCAAAATCCTAACAAACATCACACCCCCTCCACTCCCCAGGTAATGCCTCTTTTGCGTTCCTCTTTGTCCTGCTAGTTCTTTGCAATTAAGCAAATGGGTCATTAATTAATCGCCGCAGGCAACAGGACACATGAGGAGTTAATCAGACTCGATGGATGGACTGCTGGGAAAGAGCATGACACACAAACACACATACACATTTGCACACACATACAAACACAGGCCCACTTTCACAAACTATTGACATTTCTGATAAGTGAGCCTCCAGTAAGATGTGTATGAATAGAATTACAGAAAAGCAGCTTGATCATTGATTTGTGTTGTCAAACTGTGCTGAGTGGCAGTCCCTTCAAGGAGGAAACTTTGGTTGAAACCTTGCCTCAGGCCATCAGCATTCAACATTATACAAGAGGATATTTCTCCAGCGTGTGACTGTACACAGCTCAATCGTTGAGACTGAGGACTGCTGACAAATCATTTTCATGAAGTATAAACAAATAGGGCTATTGACGGGAAAACCACACAGGATTCGTAGAGGCTGGATTTATACCAGGCAAATTGGTTTGATAAGTACAGGGCCGGTCCCAGACAGGTGCAATCTCAGTGACATCACTTTGCCTGTTGAGACAGAGGCTAATTGTGAATGCAGACATGTTTCTCAGACCTCTTCTGCTTTAAAGGTGGTTTCTCTTGAGGCACTGAGAGCATTATGTTTTCTTCTTTTTATCTTTCTCGTTCTGTGGCTCTCTTCCCCTCTCTCTGATGTGTGTGTGTTTGTGCAATGGATGATTGATAGAATAGGGTAGGACTCAGGTAATTACATGCACAAATGTTGGGAATGTTTGGAATCTGCACCAGCAGAAGAGAATACCAGATGTGTCCAGCACCACACAGCAGGAAGTAAAAAAAACTAGGGCCACAACTAACCATTATTTTCCTTTACAATTATTCTTCTGATTATTGTCTCGATTAATCATTTTGTTATAGTGAAAAATGTCTAAACAGTAAAGCAACAAATCTCACATTTCATTGTCTTACAATTTGATTCATACAAGAATCAATTATCAAAATAATCGACAAATCAAATTAACCAACTGCTCTAACTCTAAGACAAATTACGCTAATGACACCACCAAATACACAAAAATATATATGGTACACTTGCATAAAGACACACAGATCACATGCCATCAAACGCCTCCAGAATATCACGAATGAAGTGGTTTTCCTTGATTTCTGTTAGTCACTGTAATGCTTTATTAACTTTTCTCCAGTAGATGGCAGACTTTTACAGTAATACAGTAGATTCAGCACATTGTTTACCATAGTATGGTCTCCTGAAGCATGAACCATGTGTCATCACTTCCATCTACTGCCATTGAGTCAGAGGGGAAGAGGTGTTTCTTCCTCAGACATCCTCTATATTCCTTTAACCGCACATGCCGGCCTGCCGGCCAACGTGGACAGGACGGGAAAAGGCAGTAACCACAATGACACAGGATGAGAGTTGTTTTGTCCAGTGCATTCAGCACTATCTGATCTGCCAGAGGCACAAGAGGAAGGAAACGTTGACAACATGAAGCAGAAGTTAAGAAGCTAAGACTCTCACCTGGAAAAACCTGAAACACTGCTACTCTGGTGGTAATATTACAGTAAATATATGCAGAACTTGTGATGTAGACTTTTCCTGATTAGATAACACTGGCAGCAAACATTCCAGCAATGAAACTACTGAGCCAGATATGAACCACATGAACCATCAGTAAAATATCAACTAATGTTTTTGAGAGAAGAGCCAGAGTCTCCCGTATAATGTGAAAATAAGCTGATCGGCCAAAAGACATAAATCTTGCTGGAATGTATAGGAGTTGTGACTAGTATACTCAATATTTGCATTTCATCACAGAGCCAAAACGCTATGTGGAGTGGGGGATTAAATATATCTACCAGAGCATTTGATCTAATAGTCTATAAGAACACGAAAGAAATATTTTACATTGTTCTTACTGACTAAATGGATTCATTTATTTCTTACTGCACTTCTGTAATCAAATTTCCCTCCTTCATTAAGATAATTACTCTAAAAAGTCTGGAACAACAGAGCCTGAGACAAGACCAACAACTGTAATTTCATTTGAAAGACTCTTTTAGTCTGCTGAAACTGCACAGCAGAGGGAGGGACCACACAGACAGAAAGACAGATACAGTAGATAGCTAGCTAGATAGATAAAACTATTCAACTTGGCCATTAAAGTATACAGACAGTAAAGTACTAAAATGCATTATAGTTGGATTTATTACTCTGTACTTTCCACTCAAGCAAGAAATTGGCCCAATACCTGAACACCAAAAATGAAAGGATGGGCTTGTGACCCGTTCTACTTTACTTGGATTGAATTTAAAATTCATTGCAAATTGGGATTTTCTCCACCAGGTGGTGTTGCAGAGCTATCATGAACATTCACAGGGACAAACTGAGACACAGCAAGAACAATGGGTGTAAAGCCTGAACATTAAGCTGTGTCATGTCTTGGCGTTTATTTAAACATAGTCGTCATATTTTTTTATTCAGTCCCAAGCCTCCAGGTTCATTTGTTGTCAAAGAAAACATGAGATATTTACTATGATAAAACTGTACAGGAGCAGATAAGTTATCAGGCCACTACAGTAGTTAATTCCACTGTTTGATTCTTATCTGGAATCGAAGGTCAACTTTGGTATTAGAGTACAGCCACAGACTAGTATGCCATAAAATGAAAAAACTTCTGACTCAATTTTCTTTTTAACAACTGCAATAAATCAGAGGAGCGCCACCACTGAGAAGAGCATGCTTCTAACCCAGGGACTACCAGTAGTTCCCAACCTGGAAAGTTAGTTCAGCATTGATTCTCTGTCTCGCTGTGATACCACTATAACCATCTAACCTATGAATCCTGAGGAACCAAAACTGGAAATCCAGTACACACTGCCCTCGAAGAAGAGAGTAAGCACCATGAAAGGAATGGCTCAGCTCACCCTCTGGGCTGCGGACTGTAGTGCTTTTACTAAAAACCTCTGCTTTAAGCTCATGTCCTGTTAGTCTACACCTTTCACCCCTCACCATGATACCTCACATACCTCGACCCCACTCACAAATACAAAGATTTTTAAAAACTAAAAACTCTCACAGTTCCGTGATAAATCATTCAGTCCTTGGGCAACTTTTCAGACTTTTTGCCTTTATAATAAACTGGCAGGATGTTAAAATGAAAAGTATTAATAACAAAACATTGAACAGCCTGCAGAGCAAGGATGGATTACCAAGCTTGCCTATGTAGCCAGTGCCTAAGAGCCTTTCATTGCAGGGGCCTCAGACCTCGATACACCCAAGGAAAGACCTAAATTGGTGCAGAAGTTAATGTAAAAAATCTAAAATATAGCAGCTTATTATTTTTATACATTGTGAAATAAATTATAATATGTGTTAAATAAGTAATGAGTATGACATGATGCTCTGCCGTTCCTATCCTAGGGGTCGGGACCTCTCAAGAAGTCCTAAGAATTTTTTTTATGAATTCATCACATACTTCTGTTACACAAATTATTGTATATCTTCTTATGATTTGATTTAAATGACACAATCCAAGAAATGTCGATCTGCTCACTCAACTCCATCTCCACCCTATCACCATAGTCTGTGCTAAAGGGTGACAATTGGGCCTTTTTTGGGTCAAAAGCCAACAAGGTTGGGAACCAGTAGGGCGTATCGCCTGTTTATAATCCCACAAGCCCAAAGTCCTGACTGACTCATAAAATATGTTCAATAGCCTCACAAAAGACACAGTGGAAGGATAATAAAAAATATTTCCACCCCATTGCCATACAGCTGCATAACTCTGCTTGCTCTGTCAGGCCCCTCTACTTATGTGATATAATGATTATCCAGCTCAAGCTCAAGGTGTGTGCAGATCGGCTCCCACCTGTGCAGAGGTAATTACAATTTCACTCTTCTCCAACAGTCATAGGGAACAAGACCATAACTCTGAAAGTGAGACACTACTTAACCACACATAGATCTGCATGATGTAGAGTAACACACCTGCACACTTACAATCACAGACACACCCATATATTCCCCCTCACACACAGTAACACCATTCTTACAAGCAGATATATGCTCATAAAGTTGGCCTCATTTTGAGGGATTTATTGCATTCTAATAAGCATCAATGTGATTTAAAACAGCAAGTAATATTCATTTTTACATAACAATTGAAGACTCCTGGAATCTGTAAAACAGTAGTGAAAATGATTCAATGCAGAAAAATATTTTAAGTACCAAAATCATCATATCCTCACCAGCAAACAAAGAAATGAAACAGGTCTTTAGCTTTATCATTTACAAAGGGACACACTTAATCATGAAATTGTAAGAATCTTAAATATGTTCCAAAATTTACCCATGTGAGAGTTCAGAGGTAGACCACAAGGACTGAATAATCTCCATTTCAAATAATTTCAAGGAAAAACCTGGAAGACCTGTCCAACAATAACAATCTGTATATGAAAATAAGCTTTTTAGAGAAGAACTATTCATGTTATATATTACTTAAACAGGTAGAACTTCATGATTGATAAATCTATCTCAATACATATAATTTCAAAAAACAGTACACATAAAGATAATTTTCCCTATAGTCAAGTTAACATTCTTTGGATGCATAAATAATCTACAGAACCTATGACATTTACTGCATTGCCATACTACTGAGGGACTTTCAATTTTTCAAAAGTAGCAGCTACAAATTATAAAGGGCTTGAAAATTCTTATTTGGTATGTGGTAAACATGTTCCTACAGACCATGTTTATAAAGAGCCCCAGCCCCTCAGGTGATCACTCATCGCAGTGCAATGTGTGTCATGCTGCATTTCTAGTCAAGGGTGTGTTCATAAGGGTGTGTTCGAGCCTGACAACCTGATACTTAAAATGGAAAACACACTTCAATTTTAAAAGAGCAGAAACAAAGTCAAATTGTTTAAATTAACTGAATTAGGAGAAACAGACTCTGCTGTGAATAAAAAAGACAGTGGTCAATTGTGAGGGCTTGTGAACAATGCAAGCCATTAAGCTTTTTGTGGAAGGAAATTTCAAACAGATTGTTATGTGCACTGCTGCACTTCCTCCCTAACTAGTGTTCAGCTGGTGTTTTCACTATGCAAAACAGAAATTTGACACTGACCACAATCTAGGACTACTCAGTTCTCAGAATCTATTCTGACCATCTAAAGGTAGCTTTATGAACACACCCAATACCTACACAGTTGCAAGACAGACACACAGAAAATGCAATGACATCCAAGCTAATTACAAGGTTCTAAATCCTTGGAATTGTTTTGAAAATATATTTTTCGAACAGGGAATTTTACTGTGTCCTGGTTTGTTGCTGTTTTGTTTGTGTTGCTGTAATTCATCCTCTTGCGGCCTGTGATTCTCCCTCGAAGGCCCTGTTGTCATAGAGATGCTGATATCTCTCTGGGTCAGGGCTAGGTGGGTCGGTCAGTGGTACCTCGTACAAGGATTCTTCTGTCACTGTGATCACAGTGACATCTGGTGGTGATTCAACAGAAATGCTCTCTTTTGTCTCCTCCTCAACCCCCAGGGCCTTCAGGATGTCGCACTTACACATAGGGCAGGTCCTCCTCTCCAGCAGCCATGGCTCAATGCAGGTTTTGTGGAAGATGTGATCACATGTTAGCACTGTCACCACTTCGCCTGCCTTGTAGGATTCAATACATACGGCACACATATGGGAGTCAGAAGTAGTTTCCTCATCCCCTCTCTTGAGTGTGCGTACTTGTAGACGCCCAATGGCCTTCTTAGCCTCCGATTTCAGCCTCCTCTCAGCGCGCCTATGCATATTCAGATTGTAGAGACGATTTGCAGAGATAAACACAAAGTAGGTGATAGAGGCTGCTGTCACAATGAAGAAGGCGATGGACAGGAAGTAAAGCCAGTAGGTGTCCATCCAGGGTCCATGAGGGCTGCCTACATCAATAAGCATCTGAACATCTGTCCCATTCTGCACCAACCTGACAACCTCCATGCCCTGAGTGTTGCCAATCATGATAGCCACAATACCAGCTGCATCTGAGTGTGCCATGTGAGTGGTGCTGTTGCCACTGCCATCCACATTATACACCACCACACCAGCTGCTCCTTCAAGTTTGGCAGCATTGATCTTCTCATTGAAGGTGCAGTTGCCCCTTTTAACCAGGGCTATCCAAGGCGGTGAGCTGGAATTGCGGTTGTAGACAGCTGAGCCACAGCCTCTGGGGTCTCCCTTGGGAAGCATAACAATGCCTGAGGCTTTCTCCAGGGGAGAGTTACGACCATACACCCCACACTCACAATATTTGTCCACAGTCACATTGTTGCTGTTAACGTAGTTTATTTCCACCACGGCTGTCCAAAACACGAAGGCTGCTGAATAGCGAACAAGCCCTGACAAACACAGCAACAGCAGCATGCAATGTTGTGTCTTCTTATCCATGGTAACACTCTTCTCAAAACAACAGGAAGCCCTCTGTTAGCTTCTTTAGCTTCTTTAAAACTCCTTTGTTAGTTCCAGTTCCTGGTTTGTTCGAGCCACAGCGATCTGAATACAGCTACAGTGTCACCTAACCTGCTGTCTACAGTAATCTGATATGAGCCTTTGGTAACATAACACGAGCTCTGCGTCAGCCACTCACCTCTTGTTATCTTCCTGAACCTTGTTCACTGAGTGCTCTTTGCGCAGAGGGCAGGGTATTGGTATTCAACAAGTTGAAGTACACAAAACACACAGACCTGTGCTGTTTCAATAGCCAAGGAACAGCATACAAGAAGACAAGACGCGATAAGTAAAATGATAACGTCCTGGACATAGGTCAGTAACACAGAGCAATCTTGTGAAACTAATAAAGGCTGCAGACTTTTCCCTGTGTAATGATGAGTAGACCAACTCAACCAGTTTCTCTGGTTTGGCTTGTTTCCTTCCCCTATTTTGTGACTGTCAAAACTGTTGTGAAAAGCAAACTGACAAGTATTCACTCTAAAAGACTTACAGTCCACTTCTACCAAACATTTACATAGACACATTTTAAATGTGTCCTTTAAATCACACAGGATTTGCACCCAATCATATATAATAATGGCTTTCCTTCATGCCTACAGGTACTTAAAGAGCTGTATTCCACACCGCTAGCATACCAGTGACAACTGAGATGGAACCGGGTATTGTCTAGTTTCCATTGCATCTTCTTACACAAAAGTAAAAGCACACTCTGTGAGAGACAGAGAGGCTTCCATTGACAAATGAGATGGAAAGGTCTCTTGCCAAGCTGCTATTTTACCTTAGTTCTCCGACACACATTTACAAAGTGCAGTACACTAGCCTCTGTATTATGTGCTCTTAAATAATTTATTTCAGTGGGATAAAATCTGTAAATAAAATAAAGCCTGGTACTTGTTCTTAGTACGGCTGCTGCAGCTCATAGTTCTTGATAACAGGAACAATGGGGCTGCTTGGACCTTTAAACTCCTGAAACTCAAATAATTACCCAGACACAGATAAAAATAAAGCCAAATGTGAAACCCATGGATTAACTATACATTAACTACAGCTATTTTGTTTTTGTTTTTCTCAATTTCTTCAAAACATTCTACCATAAATTGCGTGAATTCAGGAATCACATTTTCAAGATAACCTCTATGACTTTCTACGCCAATGCTGGCCTCTGCTGGTTGGATAAAGGTCTGGTCACGGACAACAGCTGCACATAGTGAGGGTTATCTGAGTCACTCGGAAATCCAGGCTGAAACACTTGATATAATATATGTGTATGTCATAAATTCAAATTATTTGGTCCCAAAAAATATTTTGTCATTTTCATGCATTTGTTACTTGCTGGATTGTTGCAATTCCCTATTATCAGGCTGAAAAAGTCCCTTAGCACTCTCCAGTTGATCCAGATTGCTGCGGCACATGTACTAACAAAAAAAAAGAGATCAAATTTCTCCTGTTTTAGCTTTTCTGCTCTGGCTCCCTGTAAAATCCAGAATATAACTTTAAATCCTTCACCTCACCTATAAAGCCCTTAATGGTCAGGCACCATCTTATCTAAAGAGTACCCCATTGCCCCACTAGAACACTGCGCTCTCAGATTGTAGGGTTACTTGTGGTTCCTAATGTCTCCAAAAGCAAAACGGGAGGCAGAGCTTTCAGCTATCAAGCAGGCATTTCTTCCTCCAGAGCTGTAGAGTCTGGATCTGCAGTTGCAAGCCACCTACTGCCCCCTTCCTGCTCGACACCCACTGCTATAAGTATCATTATTAGTCCTATTAATATTATTATCAATATTAATACTATTGTTAATTTTATTGATATTTGTATTATTACCACTTCCATGCTACTCCAGCTCTCTCGCTTTCTATCTCTTTCTCTCTCTGCTTTGCCATTGTTGCCAAGTGCTTGCTTATGGTGGGAAATGTTGGGTTTCTGTAAATAATATTTCAAAGAGTATGGTCTAGACCTGCTCTACATGAAGAGTGCAATTAGATCTCTGAAATGGTGCAATATAAATAAAATAAAGTTGAAGGCACATCCTGTGCAGAACCATGGGGTTCACTATTAAATGAATAAATATGGCCACATTAAGTAAAAAATGTTATGCATAATGTTGAGTTTTAAAAAGTTACAACAAACATAATGTACTCCAGTGTTTCAGTGCCTTCTTCAAATGTAAACCTGCTGGGTTTTAGGCCAGACAATTGCATTAGAATGTTGATTAAACCATTGTTTGTATCCTCTTTGTAATGTAAAGAAAACTGACACCTCTTTGTTTAGTGCCAGAAGGACAGTTTTTTGACAGTTTCATTGACACTTAAGACAGGGTGTCAACCATTTTGTAGACAAGCCCTGTTGTTCTCCGTGATTAGTTTAGAGCAAAAGACTGTTTTATCCTGTAGATTGAAGGGGGTTTCACGTCTGGGAATTGGCGCTCTTTTGTTCGACCAAAAGTATCATAGAGCAGTAAGGTACACCCTTCCTAATTGGGTGACGAAGAAGTAACCAAATGACCAATGGCTATGGTCCTGAGCCATTTGAAGGAAAAGACCCATCCACATACCTGGAGGATATTAACAATTCATTTTGTGAGAATCAGGACTGTAAGCTGTGGATCTGGGAGGAGAAGCAGCTTTTCAGTCCACTGCTGGAGGCGGCTTTAGCTCAGTCTGTTCGGACTTGACTGAAAGCTGTAAATCTGAACGGAGGACCAACTTTTCACTCCACTGCAGTGTTATTTGTTTGTTCTGTAATGGCATCTCTTTATTCACTAATTTTTGTAATTAAATCTTTTTGTTAATTTTCATTGGACTGAGCCTCTCCTTTCTCAAAATCTAAAAAAACGCAACAATTGGTGACCCCGATGTGATTTTGAGAAAAGGACAGGACAAAACGTCAGACCAAGAGCAGACGATTGCCTGATTTTCACACGGGCCCAAATATCGGAAGGCCTGTTTTATCAAAACTCTGTATAGGCTGTATAGGATATTTTAGGTGTGAGAATCAAGCACCGTCTACTCCGTAAGTCTGTTAAAATTTTAAAGTGATTTAAAGTGAAGATACCGACTGTTAAACAGCATTTGAGATGGTAATACAGAACAATGGTATGTTATTGTTTGTCTATATGTTGAGGGGTTAGAGTCCCCCTTAGGGTTAGAGTCCCTAAGTATTGTTTGTGTATGTGTTGAGGGGTTGGAGTCCCCCCTTAGGGTTAGAGTCCCTAAGTATTGTTTGTTTTGAGGGGTTAGAGTCCCTAAGTATTGTTTGTTTTAGTGTTGAGGGGTTAGAGTCCCCCCTTAGGGTTAGAGTTTGTTCTGTTGTTCTGTTATATTATTTCATTTTTAGTACACACACCCAAAACCCAAAGAATAAGACACAAACTGATGTGTAGAAGTCAGGGATAGACAAATTAGCAAAATGGCAGACAAACAACCCCTGCAGCCATCCTCAAGCATTACAACAGAAGACTGGAAGAATAAGATTTTCCAGAAAATTGAGGCAGCCACAGAAAAGAAAAACAGACGAAAAACAAAAAAGAAGCTGGAAAAAATTTGGATGGATTGGCAGGACAGAAAATTGATCCCAGGAGATCCAGACCCATGTCCCACTGGAACATACAGAACACGGATAATAGGATATGAAAGAGGAGAAGCGTCCAAAGCTCAAACAAAATGGGAGAGGAAAGGAGAACCAAAATTTGGATCAACAAAAAGAGCCCTTGACAAGGCTGCAAAACGTATGGCACGTGTCTCTCAGTTGTTGATGTACGTGAAGCATGTCATCCCAGAAGAGCCCAGTGGAGCTTGCTCAGAGAAAGAGGCCAACTCGGACACCACCAAGGAAGAGCAGAATGAGTTTAAGGACCATAGACTACATTCAGTGATTCCCACTGCTCCCCCACCATACATGAGGTTCTGGCTGTGGCCCAAAATGCACAGCAAATGATAAGCGGACCCATAGCATACTGGAAACAAGCAGAACAGGAAGTGGCGGCACCGGAACGCCATTCACAAGCCCTGTGCATCCTTCCTTCTCCACCCCGGATCAAGGACAAATGTGTAGAGATAATGAGTGCACTGGAGATGGAGCCTTCAGGCTCAGGGAGGAAGCCACCATGCTGGGAAGTGAAAGACAGAGACTGAGGCAGAGACAAACAGAAGAGGAGAAGAGAAAGACGAAGAGTAAGAAAAAGCCTAGAAAACATAGGACTGGTTATGACAGTGAAGGACAAGAAGAAAGTGAAGAAGAAATTAAATAAAGGAAAAAGAAGGGATGTGTGACACATCCAGAGAGGAAGGAAAAAGGTGAAGACACCTCCAGTGATTCTTCTGAGTCAGAAGAAGAGGACAACAACAAAACATGCACACACAGACTAAGGGGCAAAGTAAAGGTTGACCTGCCACCCACCACATCTGAAGGAGCAGTCCTGACCAGTCCCATCTTAAACCCCACCCGATCACCCATAGAAAGCACAACACAGGGACAATACCCTCTGGTGGCTGGAGGAGGACGAGCAACAGTCTACCAGCCTTGGAAACACAGGGACATGGAAGCATTAGTGACCAAACTGCCACCACTACAAAAAGGAGGACAAAGATGGATCATCGAATGTGAGAAATACACAGCAGGAGACCAGCTCTGTTTGGGAGACATAAGAGACTCATAAGACGCATAGAAGGAAATATTAGAGTCCGGGAACTTGATGGAATAGCCAGATGCACCACTGAAGCAGATAGCACACCTTTCAACAGGTACAGAAATGTCTACTGGGAGGCAGTAAGAGATAGATTCCCTACACTAAGATCCCTTACTGGATTGGACAGCCTTAAAAAGATGCCTGATGAGGAGCTGCATGTCTTTCTAAGAAGGTGTGAAGATGAATGGTTGGAAAGCACTGGAGAACGCTATGATCACTCCACCTCTAATCGCATGCTGTACAGAGACAGAGTGATAAAGGCTCTCCCATTAGCAGTCCTAGCCAAATTGAATGACATTGCGGACTCAACATCATGGATGAAGAACACTGGCGACTCCAACTGACTCATCACTGCAGCAGATATAACAAAACAGAGGATGAACATGATGAAGAGTTAAAGGCCCTCAACAAAAGACTGCTGAAGATGCAAGTAGCAGAAAAAGAAGACATTATAAACAAAGCAAAGGAAAATAAACCCGAAAAACAAATGATAATGGGATCATTTGCAGGAGAAATACAAGACGTGGTTGAACAGGCCGTAGCTGCTGCAATGAAAAAGCTACCAGTAGAAACCACACCTTCACCCACGTGGCCACCATGGGCAACAACAGAACCAGTTCCTTCACAACCATACCCCATGCAATACCAGA